ATATATATATATATATATAGCGGGGTTATAATTACAACGGTGTAACTTTTACTAAGTATTACACCGCTCAATATCTTTATATTAATTATGAATTTTGTAAATCCAACCGTTAGATTGAAAGTTCATATCACTTTATACGTGTATATCAAATTTTGTTAAAATTAACTTGAAGGTAATCAAAGTGTTCACATTTTAGTGTATTTTGAAATGAATATATTATGTCAATTTTGTTTTATAAAAATGAAGTATCAAATAATCTTGGATTAATATAAAATTTTGTATATATGATCTAAGAGATATGAACTTTTAATCTAACGGTTGGATTTACAAAATTCACATTTAATATAAAGTTATTGAGTGGTGTAATATTTAGTGTTCTCACCTGAGATTGGATCGGTGACGATTTCTCCGATGAGATTGGTAAGCCTCCACTGGTTCGTAGGTTGTCTGCTCCAAGGTGGGGGTGGTACCTGCAAAATAGACCCTGATGCTAAAGTTAGTACTTGATAGTGTAGATGTCTCGTATATATATTAGACGTACCTCAGTGATATTAGGGTTTTTACTGTCTACCGGCACATTGACATTTTTAGGGTTTTACCTTGTGATTGCGGCGCGGTGACAAGATTGTATTTTTATCTGTTTGATGACATAACCTCTTTGGGCCGATGTGGTGTTCCGATGTCCATGTTTCATGACCAAGCTGAGGAACTCGGCAATAATGAGTTTACTGCTTGGTCAGGCTGATAAACCTTTGATCGAGTCTTGGTCAGGTTGGTAAACCTTTGACCGAGTAGGCAACTTGGTGAGGGACAAGTCGGCAACTCAGCTAAGCCAGTACACTTAGTAAAAGTTACACCAGTGTACACAATTAATGTCTTAAATCATAAATTACACATCCAAATAATTATGTCTTACTTTTCAACTCTTTGATATCTATTATCACCTATTTTTCCTTGAGCATAACAAATGTTTAAAGCTGTTGTAATTAAGGAATTGACCTCTCCAAAAGGCAAAACATCATTTTCGAAGAAATCACCAAAATCACCAAACTCTGATAGAAGGGCTTGAATATCCATTTCCATGCCCCTATCATCATCATCCCAGTCCCAGTAAGACCCAATTGGTTCATTTCCTACTCCTGTAATGGCTGAATTGTTCACTTCCATGGAAACAAAATCAGACATGTAAGCATCTTGCACTGGGATGTTTGTAGCTGTACTTAACAACTCTGTCACTCCAGTTCGAGACCGCTTAGAGCCCTGCAGAGAGACAAGAGCTGCTATAATGCTCAATTGCACAAAAACTAGAATCAGCAAACAGGAAAACTAAATGCACTCCCTCCAAAACCACAAAAAAAAATACAATAATAAGAGCACGCAGAATATTGTCAAAGAATCTTTCATATTTTCAAGAAAAATACAACATAACTATTTTCTCAATTTATTTTAAAAATGCAGTAAGCCTTCTTCATGTGCACACAATCTTACGAGTGGCTAGGCTATAATGTGAGGATACTGCTAACTTGCCAAGTACCTGTATCCAGAACTCATGGGTAATGGTCTCAGTTTCATACTATAATTTAAAATGTTGGTGTGCGTATCATGTACTACCAAAGGGTATGGTAACTACTCTCACCGGTATCAGTGCATCTTGCATGCAATACATTACATTTGGCGAAATGCTATAACCACCACCTTTCTTTTTCATAATCCAATAAAATGTGATAACTGCTTACATCCCAAAGAATATGAAAAGGGAGAAAATTTATGGTAACTAGCTTTAGTAATGTTGGTAGAAGTGAAGAGACTAATTTTTAACGGCAATGTGCAGTTTATGCTATAATTTGATTCATTTGGTTGAAGAGTAATGTTCATATTTTTGAGGTTGATAAGCTTGTCAAATGATATGAGATAAGATTCAGCTATTTACTCCCGTTTGGTGTAAAGCACATGGTTTTTTAAAAGGTCCCTAGCAGATATGCAGAGTGATTGGGTGGCGTTGTTCCATTGTTTTTCTTCTCTTTGTTGGTTAAGGATGATTAGATTAGCAAAATGCTTCTTGTACTCTTGTTTTTCTATGTTTTTTGTTGTGTTTTAATCAATTATGTTATGAGACTTAATGAATTATGGTATTGTTGTTATGATATTTAAGTATTTAAGTTGATATTATGTTGCTTTTAATTTAGTTTTGTTACTTGTTATTTATTGTTTTGCTATTTTCTTTGTATATAATATATATAAATATTTTTATTATTAATTTTTTTTTGTCCGCCATGACGTCCGCCATAGGCCGCCATGGCATCCGCCATAGAGTTATAAAGGATTTTTGGCCTCACCGCCATAGACCGTTATCCGCCATCGATAACCTTGATCTCTATTTGGAGAACCTCCTTGAAAAGGCCACATGATTGACTCCCGATAGAAGCTAACCACCGAATATCCAAATCAGCTACATAGCAACCAAATCTCATTAACAATACAGGTTTTATGCTTGAATGATATGCTCCAAATAGTAGCATGAATTGCACAAGAGCAGTTGTTGGTTACTGGAGTGAGGTAGAGCACAGCCCCCCTGCTCCCACATGCTCATGTTAGTGTAATTCATCATCATGGTGTTGTTTGAATAACAGTCCAAGTCAAGTGAGCATTATGTACTGTGTAACCTTCGATTCAAGAACCCATCACCCATCTGACCTTTAATCCACATGCACATGCTACTGTGCCTTGTCATCTTTGTTTTGAACTATTTTCTTTTTTCAACGGCCTCCTCTGTTTCATGTGCAATACAGCCATATTTGTTTTTTTAATTTGATCTTATTTTTGTTTTGGATACAAGTTCTTACTTTATTAATTGTTGCCACCTAAACTACAGTTCTTGGTGCTGCTTGAGCTGTAACAAATTTATTTGTCAGATGAATTGTTATATGTGCATTCGATTGTGCTTTCATATGAACCATTATACTTCAATTCTTAGAAGACCCTGTGATTTCATACTATATTAATGTGAAACATACAGATTTTGGCTGCAGAATTGGATGGGACCATCCCTGCCTGGTTCCTCTTCCTTTATTCACTGGTTTGTCCTCTCTCTATTGCTCTCTGTGTTCATGCATGCTTTTGCCTGAGATTTTTCTTGATTCTTGTATCTTTGATTATTGTTAAGGTTAATTGTGAACCCTGTCTTATGCTGATGGCTGTTTGGCATACAGACTAGGCAGCTTGTTGCATTTTTCAATTTTCTTTTTGTTTTTTGTTTTGTTTTGTTTTGTTTTTTTTTTGTTTCTTGTTGTATCTTGAATTTTCTGTATGACTACCTATCTTATTGTCTCCATAGTCCAAAGTGCTTTTCTTCTTTTCTGCTATAATTTTTTTTTTTATCAAAAAATTGCTGACAAGTAGCAATAGGTTTTTGGAAAAACCTTGTCTTACTTCTATTCCACTTTAAACCTTAACCCTATAACTTATTGGTTATTTTTTTGAGCACATAAATATGTTTGAGTACATTTTTTTCTGGTTTTTGCTAAAGCCTCAATTTTATATCTTGGACTCTTAAATTTTTCTTCTGCCTTCTGCAGTGCTGGTAATATGGATTGTACTGAAGATCCTTGGACTGAAATCAATGGAACTCGCACGCAAAATAGTTATGATAGTAGTAGCAATAGCAATAGTAGCAGTATTAGTAGCTTAAGTGCCAGCTCTAGTGATAGTGATTACAAGACTACAGGACCGAGTGAATTAGAGGCAGATGTTGATTCTTTAACGTGTAGACAGTCTATGGTATCTTCTGGTGATCAGTTGGAAAGTGATGGCCCCAAATTGGTATATCATTATTTACTTTTGAAAAAATTATGTTGAATATTTTTTACTTAAAGAAAGTTTATTATGAGTAAAAGAAAATTACTTGGAACTTGTATGATAATGGATCAACCAAAAATAAAACAGAAAATTTAACCAACAAAGAGAAGAAAAACAATGGAACAACGCCACCCAATCACTCTGCATATCTGCTAGGGACCTTTTAAAAAACCATGTGCTTTACACCAAACGGGAGTAAATAGCTGAATCTTATCTCATATCATTTGACAAGCTTATCAACCTCAAAAATATGAACATTACTCTTCAACCAAATGAATCAAATTATAGCATAAACTGCACATTGCCGTTAAAAATTAGTCTCTTCACTTCTACCAACATTACTAAAGCTAGTTACCATAAATTTTCTCCCTTTTCATATTCTTTGGGATGTAAGCAGTTATCACATTTTATTGGATTATGAAAAAGAAAGGTGGTGGTTATAGCATTTCGCCAAATGTAATGTATTGCATGCAAGATGCACTGATACCGGTGAGAGTAGTTACCATACCCTTTGGTAGTACATGATACGCACACCAACATTTTAAATTATAGTATGAAACTGAGACCATTACCCATGAGTTCTGGATACAGGTACTTGGCAAGTTAGCAGTATCCTCACATTATAGCCTAGCCACTCGTAAGATTGTGTGCACATGAAGAAGGCTTACTGCATTTTTAAAATAAATTGAGAAAATAGTTATGTTGTATTTTTCTTGAAAATATGAAAGATTCTTTGACAATATTCTGCGTGCTCTTATTATTGTATTTTTTTTTGTGGTTTTGGAGGGAGTGCATTTAGTTTTCCTGTTTGCTGATTCTAGTTTTTGTGCAATTGAGCATTATAGCAGCTCTTGTCTCTCTGCAGGGCTCTAAGCGGTCTCGAACTGGAGTGACAGAGTTGTTAAGTACAGCTACAAACATCCCAGTGCAAGATGCTTACATGTCTGATTTTGTTTCCATGGAAGTGAACAATTCAGCCATTACAGGAGTAGGAAATGAACCAATTGGGTCTTACTGGGACTGGGATGATGATGATAGGGGCATGGAAATGGATATTCAAGCCCTTCTATCAGAGTTTGGTGATTTTGGTGATTTCTTCGAAAATGATGTTTTGCCTTTTGGAGAGGTATCTGAATATTTATACTATGATTTAAAGAGGATTCTTTCTTTTGATTTCCACTTTTTCTCATCTATAATCCTGAGTTTAGTGAGAGCCATTGAGTTGTGACATCCATTTCTAAACAGGTGCACATTGCACACCACAATTAATGTCTTAAATCATAAATTACACATCCAAATAATTATGTCTTACTTTTCAACTCTTTGATATCTATTATCACCTATTTTTCCTTGAGCATAACAAATGTTTAAAGCTGTTGTAATTAAGGAATTGTGTGTATTGTTGTACACACACCAATCTTATTTGCAAAAACAAAGGATAAACACATATTAACATATTCTTTTCACGTTAATTAATGGTGTTATCATAGGAGAGGTGAGTAGTTTTTGAAAATTAGAAAAATGTGTATATTATTTCGAGAGACCTCCGAAGAGATAAGTGCAATTTCCTTTTCTTTAAAAGATATGTATAAAAAATAATAATAAATTTTGTATATCATATATTTAGGCCAAACAAAAATATTATCTGCATAATCTAAATCATTATACTTAGTTCAAAAAATATTATATTGTATATGTGTGAAGAAGAAAAAAAAAAGTAATCAATGATCTGTATACAACAGGAACGGGCATATTGCAATTTGATTGTGTAGTTGTGTTCTTCACCAGCCTCATTGTCCACACCATATGATATCTTTGCTCAAACAATCAAAGAAGTGCTTAAATCATTCTCAACAAAAGAATTGGAATTGGATGATAGTAATAAATTACCATAGTTTATATAGGTGGCAAATCGTTTGGTATATATTGTCTGCCATTAAAATTGAATGGTGTGTGCCTTTTCATTTCTTAATTTTCTTGGCGGACCATGCTGAGTAGAGTCATATTTAAAACTATTATTTCTTTTATATTATTGATTGGGACTTTAATTTGTGAATCGACGAAGTAGCATTAACTACTTTACAAATCATTGCCTCTCTTTTTTTCAAAATTGTTAGCCTTTTCCTATTGGGACTATTAAATAAAATAAGCTAAGTTTTACCTTTAGCTCCAAAAATTGATTCCATCATATTAGTAACTTTTGTCACATACAGAAATATTAATTATTAAAAATAATATTGTGTGTAAAACAAATTTTCTTCTTCTAGAAGTAGGTATGGTATTTTATAATATTTTTTCTCAATTAATAATTGTTAATATATTACCTTTTGAGCTTGAAATTTGAATTTTTTGTTATGTTCATTGGTTATAAAACAATTTAAAGTCTTTATTTTTCAAAATGTATGACAAACATTACATTTTATAGGCTTAAATATATTTTTTTAGTATTCATAAAATGAACAAATTTTGATTACAATTTTTGTAAAAAATATAAAATTATACCTCTAAAATAATATTATTGTTTTTACCTTTATTATTATGTGAGATCATTGTTAATTATTTATGTATTTAATTATTAGATATATTATGTGTTACCCATAATTTCATATCTGTATTTAATACAATATTAGCATGTGAGTCTTTGAAAAAAATTATAGATTTTACTTTTCTAAAATCTTAAATCAAGAATTTTAACTTTTTTATATTCACTAGCTAATTAAAAATAAAAGGTTTTCAGATAACAGAGTTTTTGGGAATCATTTTTATCTTAGTTTCTCATAAAAGTGTTCTCATGCAGGTAAGAACTCAACTTCCATGGGTTAGAAAAAAAGTTTTATGCATATAAAAAAATCACATAAAACCTAATTAATATATTTTTAAACATTATCACTTAAACAACAAACACAAAAATACATTAATTTTATTAACTAATTAAAATATAAATTAAATTAAATAATTGATTAGACATATTTTTTTATCACTTTTAATTATATTTTTTAAGAAAAAAAAAATCAATGCAATGTTCAATTCATTAAACTTTTAATAAATTATTTCATTGTGTTTTATATTATAAAATATTTTATTATTATTGAGTAGGAGTTACTATTTGTCCTTTTATCACTTTTCTCGTTAATTTAATAATAAAAATTAAATAATTATATAATTTTCATAAGATATGATATTTATAGTTATTTAAAATTTATAAATTATATAATTGCATTGCTATTTTTCTATTATGATTTTTGACTTCTAAATTTAACAAATTATTTAAATAAAATAACATTTTATATATTCTTTTATTGTTTTCTACTTTACTAGTTATGTTTTAATTTTAATTGTTATTTTGATTGTTAATTTAATATTTTTTATTATGGTAAATCATAAAAACTAAATTTTACACTTTAATTTACTGTAATTTTATATATAGTTTAATCATATATAAATTGTTAATTTGTTATTTTAAAATATAATTTTTTATGTAAAATTATGACACAGTTACAATTTGTAAAGAAGAAATTCAATTTTTTGCAAAAGATATTTTTATAAAAAAATATATTTACATAATCAAAAAAGTAATATTGCAACCAAACATGATAATCTTTATTTATCTGAAAATCTATATTAATATTTTGAATAATTCTTATAAATAACTAAATGGATTTTGGTCATTTTCTAGAATCGTGATTTTCGGGTATAAAAGAAAATTCTTCCCTACTAAACACTCCCTAAAGTAAATGTTAGGGATAAAAGATAATTCTTTTAAATTTTAGAATGATGAAAATTAATGAAAAATATTTTACAAATACTAATAACATAATTGAGTTTATTATTTATAAATAAATTATTATAAAAATAAATGTAGAATCAAAATTTAGTGAAAAAATATTATTTGTAAAATAAATAATTTGATAATTATAATACCTTCTCATCAAGAAATAATTAAAATAAATTATTTGTTTGTATATAGCAAATCAAAATTTAAAATAGATTATTTGTTGTATATGACACATAATGTGATTTATATATATGTTTTGAAGTAAATTTGAGAATACCAACAATTTTCAATAAGTTGCTAGATAGTTGTATTTTTTTTTTAAAGAATATTGTCAAGGATTGGATTCATCGTTGATTATTAGTCAAAGAATATTCTTAGTGTAAAAAAAACAAATATTTTAAATGTATGAAAATATTGTTGATTTTTTATTTGATGTTGAGAAAAAAGTGATTTAGATAGTGTAAATTTGAAAGGAAAAAAATATATTTACCTTAATCATTCTTTAAAACACATGTATTATATTTATGTTCAAAATTAAATATTTTTTTAGAAATATACAAGTGAAAAATGATATCCATTCTTTTGCAAATGAATATATTACTTAAAAATAATGTTGGCGATTCTAGTAACTGTTAGTTCAGGGGAAAAAATCAAAACAAATTAATCAAATCCTACTTTAATTAAAAATTAAATTGTTGACCTTATAGTTGAAATAAAATATTAGACAAAAGTAATTATAATATTTTAATAAACAAGTTTACATTTCAAAATAAAAAATAAAAAATTTAAATAAATTATTTGAACTATTTTAAAATATTATTCTAAATATTTTTAAGCCAGAACAGAATACATGTGATTTCTATAATTGAGCCTGCATTTGTTTTCTTTTTCTCAGAAAGTCTGACCTATATATGGTATCCAGCTAGCACTGACAATGGTAAATTCATCCCATCCCGTACGGACAAGACAACACAGACAAAATAACCATTTATTCTTTAAATTAAAATTCCATAACAACTAAAGCAATTGAGTAACGATATAGTCTCCAAAAATTTTCTTCAATCATCTTTCGAATATTAAAATATTAATATTGTTAATAAAATTATTATAAAATATTAAATTAAATAAATATTTTATAATTTAAATTATTATTTTAATTATTTATAATACTTTTCACAATGTTTTTCGGACATTCTATCATTTTTCAAAGTAATTAACTAGTTAGTTTGTCAAGAAAATAGTGACATAAGATTTGGTGAATTAAAATTAATATGTGTTAGATTTATCTTTCTTTAAATTTGAATTGATTTTTTTAATATTTTTTAAAATTTAAATTTGACTCGATAATGATCTAAAAATATATAAATAAGGTGTTGTTGACTTTACTTTATTAGATTATATTGATTTTAGTATTATAGATAGTTAAATTATAAGATAAAAGAAGTACAAAATTAAAATTAAAGTATCTTTTATAATATATATTTAAATTAAATAATTGTATTATAAATATAATATTTCGTAACTAAATAAATTTTTAATATTAATGCATAATAATTATATAAAAAAACTTATACTTTATGAGATAATATTATATGTTAAATTTAGTTAAACAATCCAAAACATAATATGAATTCGTCATAAAAATACATCTAAGTCTTATTTTAAAGTCAAAGTCCATCTAAATCAACATCGAATCAAATTGGGTTAGTGAATCAGGTTAGACCATGCTTACCCAACAATATATTATGCAAATAAGAGTCAACTCATTTTCCCACAATTTCAATTATACTTATGAGTGAGGCAATTTTTTTTTCTCTTACCTAAAGAAAAGTGGTTTCATAATGAGGGTGCAAGAAAAGTAGCAACGTCTCCTCCCATATTTTTCATGTTTTAAATCATGAATTTAACTACACATGTTCCAAAGAGACAAGCAATAAAGAAAAACTTTAGACTTGAGTAATAAAGAAAAATATTAGATTCAATAATTTAAAATACTTCTTTAAAAAATTAGATTATTTCTTAAAAATGTTTTAGGCCCGTAGAAACAAAAGTTCATATGATTTCATAAGTAGATTGAGTTATTAAACCTCCTTTACTTACTTTTCTAAAGCCCATATGAAAAACTTAGAAACCTTTATTATCTAGTCATAAAATCATTTTAATATTCCTATATTATTTTCCCCAAATAATATTTATTAAAATGCACATATAATTGCACAACTCATATATATAATAAAATAATAATAAAAGGTATTACATATAGTATCAAAGGATTTGTACCGACATTACATCTAATCAAAGATAAAGTTCAAAAGGATGATTAGATGGAGGACAAAGAGACTATTTATGTGGGCTTCAAGTAGGGATGGTAAAATGGGTCAATCCAACTTATTTAGGCCTCTCTATTATCACCTATTTTTCCTTGAGCATAACAAATGTTTAAAGCTGTTGTAATTAAGGAATTGTGTGTATTGTTGTACACACACCAATCTTATTTATAGGGAGAATACAATAAATGATAAAGATACTAATCTCTAACTTTTTTCAACGGCCTCCTCTGTTTCATGTGCAATACAGCCATATTTGTTTTTTTAATTTGATCTTATTTTTGTTTTGGATACAAGTTCTTACTTTATTAATTGTTGCCACCTAAACTACAGTTCTTGGTGCTGCTTGAGCTGTAACAAATTTATTTGTCAGATGAATTGTTATATGTGCATTCGATTGTGCTTTCATATGAACCATTATACTTCAATTCTTAGAAGACCCTGTGATTTCATACTATATTAATGTGAAACATACAGATTTTGGCTGCAGAATTGGATGGGACCATCCCTGCCTGGTTCCTCTTCCTTTATTCACTGGTTTGTCCTCTCTCTATTGCTCTCTGTGTTCATGCATGCTTTTGCCTGAGATTTTTCTTGATTCTTGTATCTTTGATTATTGTTAAGGTTAATTGTGAACCCTGTCTTATGCTGATGGCTGTTTGGCATACAGACTAGGCAGCTTGTTGCATTTTTCAATTTTCTTTTTGTTTTTTGTTTTGTTTTGTTTTGTTTTTTTTTTGTTTCTTGTTGTATCTTGAATTTTCTGTATGACTACCTATCTTATTGTCTCCATAGTCCAAAGTGCTTTTCTTCTTTTCTGCTATAATTTTTTTTTTTATCAAAAAATTGCTGACAAGTAGCAATAGGTTTTTGGAAAAACCTTGTCTTACTTCTATTCCACTTTAAACCTTAACCCTATAACTTATTGGTTATTTTTTTGAGCACATAAATATGTTTGAGTACATTTTTTTCTGGTTTTTGCTAAAGCCTCAATTTTATATCTTGGACTCTTAAATTTTTCTTCTGCCTTCTGCAGTGCTGGTAATATGGATTGTACTGAAGATCCTTGGACTGAAATCAATGGAACTCGCACGCAAAATAGTTATGATAGTAGTAGCAATAGCAATAGTAGCAGTATTAGTAGCTTAAGTGCCAGCTCTAGTGATAGTGATTACAAGACTACAGGACCGAGTGAATTAGAGGCAGATGTTGATTCTTTAACGTGTAGACAGTCTATGGTATCTTCTGGTGATCAGTTGGAAAGTGATGGCCCCAAATTGGTATATCATTATTTACTTTTGAAAAAATTATGTTGAATATTTTTTACTTAAAGAAAGTTTATTATGAGTAAAAGAAAATTACTTGGAACTTGTATGATAATGGATCAACCAAAAATAAAACAGAAAATTTAACCAACAAAGAGAAGAAAAACAATGGAACAACGCCACCCAATCACTCTGCATATCTGCTAGGGACCTTTTAAAAAACCATGTGCTTTACACCAAACGGGAGTAAATAGCTGAATCTTATCTCATATCATTTGACAAGCTTATCAACCTCAAAAATATGAACATTACTCTTCAACCAAATGAATCAAATTATAGCATAAACTGCACATTGCCGTTAAAAATTAGTCTCTTCACTTCTACCAACATTACTAAAGCTAGTTACCATAAATTTTCTCCCTTTTCATATTCTTTGGGATGTAAGCAGTTATCACATTTTATTGGATTATGAAAAAGAAAGGTGGTGGTTATAGCATTTCGCCAAATGTAATGTATTGCATGCAAGATGCACTGATACCGGTGAGAGTAGTTACCATACCCTTTGGTAGTACATGATACGCACACCAACATTTTAAATTATAGTATGAAACTGAGACCATTACCCATGAGTTCTGGATACAGGTACTTGGCAAGTTAGCAGTATCCTCACATTATAGCCTAGCCACTCGTAAGATTGTGTGCACATGAAGAAGGCTTACTGCATTTTTAAAATAAATTGAGAAAATAGTTATGTTGTATTTTTCTTGAAAATATGAAAGATTCTTTGACAATATTCTGCGTGCTCTTATTATTGTATTTTTTTTTGTGGTTTTGGAGGGAGTGCATTTAGTTTTCCTGTTTGCTGATTCTAGTTTTTGTGCAATTGAGCATTATAGCAGCTCTTGTCTCTCTGCAGGGCTCTAAGCGGTCTCGAACTGGAGTGACAGAGTTGTTAAGTACAGCTACAAATTTAACAATGTTACACAAACCACCATTGACTCGCCAAAAATCAGCTAGGTTGGGCTAACCTACCAAAAGAAAATGACCTACAAACTCTGGCCCATCCTACATAAGGGCGAGCTGGGGGGCCAACCCACTAGCCCACCAAAAAAAGAAAATAAAGAAAAAAAAATTTGTATATTTATTTTGAGTTACTCTTTTATCATATTTTTTTCAATATCCAAAGGATCTACATAAATCATGTATCTAAATAATAAAAAAATCTCAAATTACATATAATAAAATAAATCAAATGCAATAAATCACATATTATGCACAAAATAAATCTAAAGTGACTTAAATTATTTTCCATTAAAAATAATAAATTAAAAAATTAAAAGGCCAGCAAGTCAACCCACCCCGACCTATTATTTGGCTTAACGGGTTGGCGAGTTAGGCAGGGCGGACCAGACAAGTTGGAGGGCCAAAATACATGGCTTGGCCCACCAATTTTTTGTGGGTTAGCCCGCGAGCCATGACCCATTTTTTCACCCCTAACTTCAAGGCAAGTGTACAATTAAGGATTTGAGGTCCAAAATTATGGATAGTCAAATCTTTGTTAGAGAGTATTTGTATTAAGTTTTACCTTTTGTTTTCCTTTGAATATTCGCATATGTTATTATCCGATCTAAAGGAGACTTATTGTACCTAATAGAGATATATAAGTAATTGCATTGCTTCTATTCCTCGTCTCATTTGTTTTCGTCCAGATAGTCTTCATTCATAACTTCTTTATAGTTTTAGATTATACTTAATTGAAGAGTCCAAGATACAGTATTTATCTTTGATGATGTGATGATTAGTCTTCAATTATACTTGTTTAAGAGGAAAAAAAGGAGGGTACTCGTAAAAGACACTTGAACACTTTAGTCATTCATCAATTTTAAACAATTCAATGTAATTAATGCTATAATAAATGCAAAAGTACATTTTTTTTCTCAATGTCATCATTATTTATACTCCCCCCGTTTTTTTTTCATAGTCGTTTTGTCAGAGTTTGTTGTTTTTTTTCATTGTCATATTACTAAAATCAATGAGTTATTAATTTTTTTCTTCTATTTTCACCCTTGATAATTAATACATGTTTCCTGAACAATGTGTGTATTTATTTTTAATGTCTACCTAATTTTTCTCCAACTACTCATATAAAGTTAATGTGTATTTATAAGAGCAATATGTTCCCAACAAAATACTATAAAAAAACAAAAAAAAGGGACAACTATTTAATGGAGTAGTTCAACAGTCTAAAAAATGCAAAAGGGGTAAAATTGGAAAGTAAGTAATAAACATTTTTGAAAACTAAAATATCAATGATTTTCTTAAATCTCGTGCAAAACCTTAAACGACTATGAAAAAAAAACGAAAGGAGTACTAATTTTATTGGGTTTGGACCTTAATGACAAGCCTATTAACTACTCAATTACTTTTATTGACATTTTCTCAATTATTTGTATTCCTTAGCCACAAATGGAGGAGTATTGAAGTTTACTCCTTCAGTTAACTCCTAATACACGTAGCTCTCGATCACAAATTAAAGATTATTCAATTCTACCCTTCAACTAACTCCTTCTAATATACTTATCTTTATACATAATCATTATTTTGTATACTCACACTCATAACTAATATCAAGATAATTATCTAAATCCTTAAAAAACATAAAACATTATATATAGATAAATCTTAACATACTTATAAATTTATTAAAATTTCAACAAATCATGAACAACTATTGAATTAATCATTATAATTATAGAACATATAATTAATTATTTAATTAAATAATACAATAATAAATAATGAAATTTCATATCAAGAAATAATCGTATAAACAACAAATAATTATGAACAAGAAAAATATAGAAGTGTAAATCTCTAAAATTATCGTAGAGTGAGGTTTCATTCACTCTTCCTTATTTTTTTTCATTTTAGCTCAAATAGAAATGTATGATCAGTGCAAAATAAGATTTACACTAAATTATACTTTTGGTTCTTTATCTTATTTTTTAGATTTATTTTAATCGTTTATCTTTTAAAATATTTATTTTGACCCTTTATCTCCTAAATTTAAGTTAATTTAGTCCTTTTAAATCATTTTTTTGACTGATTTAAGACTTGAATTTTCAAAAAATTCAATTATACAAAACTATTGAATGTAATAGAAGTTCAAACCCAATGTATTATAAACATGGTAAAAATAAAATTTTTTAAAAAATCAAATTTCATATTATTTTCTAGTTATTCATGAGATATATATATTTTTGCACGATTTCCATGTTTATAACTCTTTTAAATTTAAATGTCAATTGTATTTCCTGATTTTCATATAGGTAAATTTAATATTATAAATTTATAAGTTTTAAATAAATCAAAAATTGACTCAAAATCATGTCACAAAATTAAAAATAATCATTATTTTAAAATAATTAAATTGATTCAAATATATAAAATAAAGGATAAAATAAATATTTTAAAAATAAATAATTAAAATAAATTTTAAAATAAGATTAAAAAAATTAAGAGTATAATTTAATTTAAATTAATAAACTTTAGCTTTATTGGATTATAGAGAGTAATTTTTATGTTTTTTTTATAGAAATTAACATCGCTGAACTAAACTTAGCCATTTCAATCCATTGTATTTTAAAATATCTTATATGTATATTATTCAAAAAAATATTAATTTAGTGATTTGTTACACATTATTCGGGGCATACACTATGGATAAGCACGACTAACGGTGGGTTTCGGACATAACTACCATGTCAATTATTTCAAGTGTTGTACGAGAATCGCGTTGAACTTTTATTTTTTAATTCTCAATTGTATATTCTAATAATAGAACATGTTTTCCAGGAAGTGCTATGATGATTTATTTTTATGCATAGTGCTATGTTGATTTGGCATTAACAAATGAAAAAAAAAGAGGGTTATCATCAACTTTCAAAGTGCGGGATATATAATTATTATTTTTAAAAGCCCACTCTCCAATACACATTAAAAATAAGTGCAGTAATTTTTTAAGTGAACATCTGTCGGCAGTTTCAACATATTATTAGTTTTTGTTCGCTATTACTGAAAATGTCTTTTCGTTGTACTATTTTTTTTATATATAAATAATAATATTATTATTTTATTTTCTCATACATATGTATTTAAAATTTTTAATTTTGAAAATTTTATGAATAAATTATTCAACGAGTTTTTTTATTTATTTTTATTTTAATTTAATTATACTATTTTTAAATAAGTCAATTTACTTCCATTTTTATTTAATTAATGTTAATATGTTTAATTTTCGTTAGTTTCATTTAAATAATTAATAATAAATGTCTACGTAAATATGACGTGAATTTATTATATTTATTTTAATTTAAGTTTCAAACAAACTCTATGATGTGAGATTAACTCATGTTTCCCATCATGGAAAATAATTGTGTGTTGATAAATTTGTATCATTGTAAATTAATGGATGAAATTGTTTCCTTTTTCCATTTTTTGTTGTTTTTATTTATTTTTTTCCAGTTTACCTTTCTCTTGCAATCCCTCTTAGCAACATTACCTATTTGATCATTGCACACTGTTGTGGAGAATGATTCTATCGGCCTTTCCTTTCCCTCATTGTTCTTCCTTTTTCTTTATCCTTCTTCGTCTTCACATATTCCCTTTTCTAAATCAGGTATCAGTTTTCTTGTAAATTTCCGACAGATTTATATTTTCGTCGGAAATTTTCCGTTGGAAATTTCTGACAGAAATATAAATCCGTCGGAAATTTCCAACAGAAACTTTTCGACAGAAAATTCCGTCGGAATCTTCCGACGAAAAAATAAATCCGTCGGAAAAATTTCCAACGGAATTTAGATGTACTCGATCAAAATGCTTCCAAGCTTCGCCATCAGATGGATGCCTTAAGACTCCAACACTTTTTTTGTTTTCATGATGCCATGTCATATGTCCTGCTGTTTGCATTGATGCAAACATTCTCTGTAGCCGAGGAATTATAGGCAAATAGAACATTACCTTAATTGGAACTTGTTTTTTGTTACTGATTTCAGTGCTACAGTCATGATACCTCGACTTATGACAAAATTTGCATTCAATTAATGCTCCATCATTTTTTCCATATTAATTGTCATAAAAAAGCATACAACCATCCACACAACAATCAATCCTCTTAGCTTCCAATCTTAGTTTTGCTACTAATCGTTTGGCATCATAATAAATTTTTGGAAAACTCCCTTTTATGGGTGTTACTTCCCAAAGCATCTATATAATAAACTCTAAACATTGATCAGGAACATTCCAATCTGTTGACATGGATAGTTTAGTCTTTAGCCCCTTCAAACAACGGCTTATTTGACTCTGTCAACAGATTATAGAATCTTTGAGTTTCTTCATTTGGAGGCTCTTCCATGTTGTCAAACTCTGGTGTTTCAAGTGACTCATGTTGTTTGAGAGCATCAAACACCATCTCTTGCATAAACATAAATTGATCCCCTCGAGGTACATCTACAACACTATCTGAAAAATCTATACAATTATCTGAAACATCTATACAATTATCTTCAACATGTGGCATTTCTTCACCATAATCAGTCCAAACAAAATAATCAAGTTTGAACCCTTGTTTGTAAATGTGAACCTTCACAATTTCATCATTCAAAATCTTTGTACAATTTCATTTGTGACATGGACATCTAATCCCCCATCACCTTTATAATATTTTTATTGGCGAGCTTTGTTTATAAACTCTTCAACGCCCAATACAAAAGATGGTTTCAATCCTGTTCTACCAGGGTAACACCTATCATACATCCAAGCAAGATTTGAAGTAAAAGAATCCATGTTCTGTATATTTAAACATGGATTAGTTATTAATCTAAAAATACAATTAAAATACATTAAGAAGTATTATCAAACCAAGAACGTAAATTTGATCTAAAAATAGTAATTAATCTTCAAACATAATTAATCTCATCTAGTTCAAAAATCCAATTAATCTAAAAATATAATATATTAATAATTTTG